AAAAAGAAATAAAGCCATTCAAATTGTAATTGGCAATAAATTTGAAATGGCCAAGACACCGAGACTAAAAATTTTCTATTAACTATCCATTGTCTTGGTTGCTTGTGCTCTCACTGTTTTCCTTTTGTCATTTTTAGCTTATATTATAAATCATTATACTCATAAGCTGGTAGGGACGAACAAGTTGCTTAAATGCTCTACGAAAAGAGGAGACACTTTTTGTGCGAAACACGAACGCATACATGAGTTATGACACCATTTTCGTGTGGAGGTATTTTTTTTTTTTTTTTTTTTTGAAAAAATTCAATAAATATATGCAAAAGGTGCTCAACTTTCTTTAGATATACAGCAGATCACCCTATAACATGATGACTCTTTCCGTGTTACCTAAATATATGAGGTATATGAGTCACTCAGCCGATCTGAATCGATTCAGTTATTTGCTATATTTACAGTAGCTTCCCTTAAGAACGAAGCTTAAGACACTATACGAGAACAATTGTTATGGCCACTGCGTAATCGATGTCTGAAATAAATGTATCAAAATTTGATAGGACATGTTTTCTGTCTCATTCTTTTACTATATTATACCAGGCTCTTCTTGCCGTAATCTCTCTCTCCCTCTCTCTCTCTCTCTCTCACTCAATCACTCACTTTCGCCATCAAATTATAAATTTTAATTAATTTTTATTATATAAAAACAAAATAGTAGTCAAAGTATCTCAACTAACAACTGAATTGTGTTCGGTTCAAATTTTAACTGCGCTAGGCTTTCCAATGCAACCAATAACACTGCATGCTGCTTGCTAGTGCTTCAAGCCTTCAGTTTTCGAATTTACTCCTTCGGCTACGTTAATTACAATAACATAAATATTATAAAAAAAAAATTTACCCAAACTTTTACGTTCTTTCACTTGCTCAACAACAAACAATTTTCACAAATTTAATTTCGGCATTTTACGAAAAAAAATTTGCTTAAAATTTCGCTAATTAATTGCATAGATGACAATCAAGGGTGAAACGAGGCCGATAATTAATCTTTTGTTTGCTTTCTAAAAAAATCATGACAATAAAAATCGAAAGGAATGATTACTAATACAGGTCTGCAACGTTCAAGCGAGTGCGATAGTAAAGCTTAAAGTAAAAGAAACGATCATAGCAAACTGTTACCCCGTTTTTTTTTTTTTCACAATTCGTTGCCAGGCGATTTCTAGTCAAAATTTCCATATTTCCATGTCCCCCCACACATGAAATCTCTGACTTGAGCTTTAACTCACTCACTCAGCAAAGATTCGATAGAGAGTCAAAATGAATTCATTGCTTTATCTCAATGTCCAAAGCAATTTATTACGCATCATGATATTATTGTCTTGATCGCCTCTGCAGTTGTGAGTGAGTAGAGAACTAAATGTTACCAGGACGCTTAGGAATATTTCCAAGATACAAGAAAGTGCTCATGACAGGTGGTCTTGATGTTTCCATGCTAAAATAGCAAATGCAGCTCAGCTACGTTAGCATCGTTTTTATTGCTTGCTCGGTCACTCTCTACCATTTTATAAGCGAAAATTCTGTTTAACTTTTCTCACTTTATATTACATAGCAAGTGTTAAGTGCATACGAAGCAAAGGGCGTATACACTTTGTCGTTTTGCAAATGCGTATACGCAATGGTATGCAAATATTTGCATATTTATGGGGAAAAAAACAAGCGTGGATTGGCTAGCATTGAAGATTAATAAATTTTATGTTAGTCAATAAATTTTAGTAAAATTTTGCTTATGAGGCTATGGAGATATTTCAAGACGTGTCTATGAATTTTTGTCTTATGTGAAATTTTCAAACAATCAGCCTAAGCTAAAGAGTTGCTTGGTCCATCCAAATGAAGCATGTTACACAACCTATGGTCAGGGAAAA